ACATTCTCGCTCTGGGATTCCAATTCCTGACTTGGGACACTGACGCCTAAAGAGGTCCTTATTTCAGCCCCTAGGAGGCCATTTGGCAATTTGTGGAGGTAGTTTTGGTTGTTACAAGGATGGAGGTGGGGGTGCTCCTGGCACTGTAGTAGGAGGGAGGTGGCATTAGGGGTAGTGGCCATCCTGCAACACCAGGAACATGAGGGAAGAGAGTCTTGCATGCCACACGATCTCTGGGACTTCACACATATAAAAGACAAGCTTATATTCCTGGACTGAGATCCCAACTCTCTCCTGTATAAATACGGCTTTAAAACAGACTGAATTTTCCATGCAGTAAATCCACTGGGTAAATTAAGGAAAGATGGATTTACCCATTGCTTTATCAGGAGTCATTCACCATTTTGGAAAATCGCATCACCAAGGCGACGCTGCTCATGGCATTTGAGTTGCCAGAACAACACACCTGTGTCAGTCTCTGCTTCTGACGCTGTTGTGTTTGCAGCAATTCTATGTTTAGGCGCAAACATCTGACCATTCCAGTGTGGTCGTGTCTGAACGCTGATATGTTAAATTACAGGCTTTTGAAATTATAAGTTACTTTTATGAGGTCCCCTTCATTTAATAGTTAATGGCATTTTATTAGGTTTTAAAAATAAGAAGTGCAAGTAGGTTATATGATCCATGAATTAGTAAAGACACTTAAAAATATGTGTTAAGAAATGGAGGTGCTGGCCGGGCATGGTGGCTCACTCCTGTAATCCCAGCACTTTGGGGGGCCGAGACGGGCGGATCACCTGAGGTCAGGAGTTCAAGACCAGCCTGGCCAACATGGCGAAACCCTGTCTCTATTAAAAATACAAAAATTAGCCAGGCGTGCTGGCGTATGCCCATAATTCCAGCTACTCGGGAGGCTGAGGCAGAATTGCTGGAACCTGGGAGGTGGAGGTTGCAGTGAGCCGAGATCATGCCACTGTACTCCAGCATGATTAACAAAATGAGACCCCGTCTCAAAAAAAAAAAAAAAAAAAAAAAAAAAAAAAAAAAAAAAAAAAAAGAAATGGGGGTGCTTTGAGTGCAAACCATTGAGCTAGGAGGACACACACTATTATTAAATATCACTCATCCTTAGAACTGCTCACCTAAGTGAGTTTCACAGAGCCCTGTACTTGCTCTAAGCCACCTTCTCCAGACCTTGTCTCTCCTCTGAAGCAGGTTTTTTGGTTGCTTTTGGGCAAACCACCTCATCACGGTCACAGTTGAGATGGGTGACTAGTGGGAGGACTGCAAGGGATGAGGGAAGCTGAGAGCTTGGATGCAGCCTCCTGAGTTGGGAAAATAGGTCTGCAGCGGCATCCATGTCAGGCTGGCTTGTCTCGCCCTCTTGCTTGGGGAAACAAAGACAGGAGACTGCTTCCTGAGATGGCGTTTGGAGAGGAACCCCTTGGTGCCTGGTGACACGAGGGCTCCCATGAAGTCCTCCGCATCACACCCAAGCCTAGAGTTCTGCACCAAGCCTCGTGTCCCAGACTGCCAGCTGGGGGAGAGGATCAAATGAACCCCCTGGAGGGGAAGGACCCAACTCCCAGTTCTGGAAGGGAGGTTGCACTGGGATCCTCTGGGGGACATCTCCACATCGCATACAGAGATTCAGACTCCTGGGGTTCTGGGGGTGTGGCTGAAATAGAGCCCCTGGGAATTCTGATACTCACCCCTCCATGCCCACCCCAGGCCCAGTTGAGAATTGCAATCAAGTGCATGGGACACTAGATACAGCTAGGATTCAGTTGCCCATGGGAAGGGGACTCTGCTTATATAAGGTAAGACAGAGCTCCCATTCCACACTGGTGCTGCTCCTCTCAGGAGACGGAGCACTAACGGAGAGGGAACACTGAGGGACAGCAAGGGTGGTAGAGGATTGGGAGGGAGAGGTGGTGCTTGGGGGCAGCCTTTTGGTAGGGACACTTCCCAAAGCCTCCTGGCAAACAAGGCCAATGCCTTCTGTTCTGGATCCTACAGCTGCCTTAGGATTTAACTCCATGGCATGAGCTGGACTGCTGGGAGACACAGCAAGGCCTCAAGATGCCACCTCCACTGGATGTGCTGCTGGAGGGACCTAGGGGCAGTGGCAGCTCCCTGAGGCCTGGGTTCCAGCCTGGGAGGCCTCCTGTGCTAGTTGTGAGTGACTCAGGCTTCAAATCTCCCCCACTCAGCTGAATCCCAAAGACTGATCCTGGCTACCCACTCTGGAAATGCACATCCAATGCCACAGAGTTCCCCATGCATGCATCTACCTCACTGAGATGTCACACCATGCTGTGTGTATCTAGACCGAGACTCTTGGTCTTCCTCCTCCTGGGGATGAGGACCAAAGGTGCAGGGAGGACTCCAGGCTGTCCCCAGGGAATATACAGAGGAAAAAAGTAGGTTGGAGGGAAGAGGCTTAAAGGGAGGCCTGTGACCCTGGTTTTCCCTCTGCCCAGGGACTTGTGATGGAGCCCCTGTCTTACTCCTTGGGGGGCTCTGGGGTCTTGATGGAATTGGCCCCATTTTTGTCCAGGTGTGAGAAGTTAGGAAAACTCTGATGCACTGGCAGACTGAGGTGGGCTGCCACAGACTGAGGGGCCACCAAAGGGCAGTTTGGGAGGAAGGCTGCATCCCATGCAGCGCCTCAAACACGTTAAGCACACTCCTGCCTGAGGACTCTGCACAGGCTCTTCTCTTTACCTGGAGTGCCCATCCCCTCTCCCACCCCCTGGAAAGCTCCCAGACTCCCTCTCTCCCTTCCTCCAGGCATTTAATTAATTAATTATGAGACGGAGTCTCGCTCTGTGGTCCAGGCTGGAGTGCAGTGGTATGATCTCGGCTCACTGCAACCTCCGTCTCCCAGGTTCAAGTGATTCTCCTGGCTCAGCCTCCCAAGTACCTGGGATTACAGGCACCTACCATCACGCCTGGCTAATTTTGCATTTTTAGTAGAGATGGGGTTTCACCATGTTGGCAGGTTGGTCTCAAACTCCTGACCTCAGGTGATCTGCTTACCTCGGCCTCCCAAAGTGCTGGGATTATAGGCATTAGCCACCTTGCCCGGCTGTATTTAAATGTTGCCTTCCTAGTGAGACCTGCTCTAGCTTCCCTAGTTAAAAGTTCTCAATATTTCTGATCCCATCCTTTCCTGTCTTTTTTTTTTTTTTTTTTTTTGAGATGGAGTCTCGCTTTCCTCTCGCTGTGTTGCCCAGGCTGAAGGGAGGGTAGCAGTGCAATCTCAGCTCACTGCAACCTCCGCCTCCCGGGTCCAAGTGGTTCTCCTGCCTCAGCCGCCTGAGTAGCTGCGACTACAGGCATGTGCCATCATGCCCAGCGAATCCCTTCCCCGCTTTCTTTATCTCCTTTACATATATCCCTAACAGACGGTCACGTATCGCTTAACCACAGGGACACATTCTGTGAAACGCATCATTAGGCAGTTCAGCCATTGTGGGAACATCACAGAGTGCACTTACACAAACCTGGATGGGAGAGCCTACACCACACCACACCTAGGCTATACGGTGTAGCCTATTGCCTCCAGGCTATGAACCTGTACAGCATGTGACTGTAGGGAATGCTGAAGGCAACTGTAACACAACTGTAAGAATTTGTGGATCTAAACATATCTAAACATGGAAAAGGTACAGTAACAATACAGTTTTATAATCTAATAGGATCCCTGATACATAAACAGCCCTTTGATGACTGAGACATCATTATGCATCTATAGCACATGACCTCATTACATATTTTATATATTTATCTTATTTATCACCAGTCCTCCCCACTAGACTGTAAGCTCCCCAAGGGCAGGGGATTTGTTGATTTCATTCATTGCTCCACCCTAGAGCGTAGGACAGTGCCTGACACACAGTAGGTCCTCAATGAACATTTGTTAAATGAGTGAATGCAGGGGCCTGGGGAGCTACCTTAATCCAGGCCCCCAGGTTGTCGGTGGGGAGGGGGTGCGGAATGTTCCTGAAGATCTCTAAGTGCTCTGAGGACACTTTGGTGTTCTTGGGGAAAGGGTTGGGAAATCTTGGCCTGGATTTTTTGGTGGCCCCAGACTGAGCCTCCCTCTGAGTATGCCTAGACCCACCCTGGCAGCACTGGGCACTGTAGAATCAGTGCCAGACCTAAGATGCAAATGGAAGGGGGACACAGAAACTTCTCTCTGTGTTTAATCTCCTGACGCATTATCCTCTGACCGCCTGGCCCAGCCGCTGATTTCTCCCCAGAGAAGGAGCTAGCATCACCCACTCTGCTGCCAGCTCTCCTCCTGCAGAGAATTGAAAACATTCATCTGGTGAACATAGAGGGCTGGTACCCAGTTCTTTACATTCTCGTCCCAGCTCTCACATAATCCCAGCAAGACTGCGGATTTTGGGAACTGGGGCCAATTCTAGACTTTGATTCCCTTCTCCTCCTTTAGAATTTTACACATCCTGGACTGGCTGCAATGAGGAGAAAGCTGATTTAGGCTAATGGTTGCCCCGGGCTCAGCTCTTCCCTCCTGTCTTCCAAGGGGTTTTGCAGAGCCACACACCCCAGGGTGCCATGCACACATGCCTCCCACTTGCTAGGCAACCTCAGGAAGCGCAGCCTCCACTCTGAGCCTCTGTCTTCTCACTTGTGAAACACAGATTGTAAAAATGCAAGTTCCTGGGTTCCTGGAGGATTATAGGGGATAAAGATGAGAAGACACACTGTCCGCTACCATGATGATTAATTCGCTCTGGGTTTTGTGACAAGAGAAGCATCCTAGAAGCTATGCCCTCTGGCCTCTTGCGAATGTAATTTTAAGTGAAGATCAAGGGGGCCGCCAAGTGGGAATGCATATACAGGTGTCTGAGACAGCCCAGGTTGGCTTCTGGGCTGTGAGGCTGAGTCTCAATGGATGCAAATGTACACACACAAGCATGCGCGCGTGCACACACACACACACCCCCCACCCCCACCATGGAGCTTACCTGTCCACCTGGATTCCCATATCTTTCATCTCTGCCTTGGCAGGTGTCCCTCCCTTGACCCCTCTGCTCCCACTGGTGAGAAGGTTCAGCACAGGCTCTATCTCCTTGAGCAGTTCATTGTTCTCCCCTCTGCCTTGGAGGCCGACTCTGGCTGCTTTCTTTGCAGGGTCCTGGCCTGGGGGCCTGGGGGCCAGGCCGTTGGCATGGGGGAGCGAGCCAGCCTCCTGCCCATCGTCTTGGGCATGCTGAGGCCCATTCCCAGGACCCGAGGCCCCATCCACTGCCGGGGGTTGTTCTTTGCCGGCCGATGGCTGGTGGGACAGATCCACAGCTTTGGTGGGGGGACCCAGGGGCTGTGTCACCCGGATGGTTTTGGGGGTCCCATCACCTGTAAAGGTGGTCTCCAGGTGCGTGGTGAAGCCTTCAGGGCCCCTCAGAATGAGGACCACGTGGGTCTCGGAGGCAATGCCTCTGAGTACCTCCAGGGCGCTGTCATAGCTCAGGTCCACCAAGGGCCGGCCGTTGACTGCAAGAATGATGTCTCCGGCCTGGATGAGGCCACTCTGCTCCGCGGCGCCCCCACGAATCAGGTCGGAGATGATCACAGGTGGCTTACTGACCCGCTCCTTCACCAGGAATCCCAGGCCCCCAACTTTGCGCTTGAAAAGACGAACAGAAATGACATTGGGCTGGATTTGCTGAACACCAAACATGTGATCCTCCATGGTAACCAGCTTCCAAGGGGTCCTGTCTGAAGACCTCACGATGCTATCAGGCCAAGATGATTTCACCAGGAGAAGCCAGGCTTCAGGCTACGCTGAGAGCAGGAGCCGGGGTGACAGGTGCTGACAAGGCTTCAGCCCTCTCTGTCTTTGACGTCAACTCAGCGTCACCCACTCATGGCTGGTGGCCCGTCGGTGGCATGATTTCCTGCGTCCGCCTCTCTCCTTATTCTCCAAGGAAGTGATGGTTGACCAGGCAGACGTCAAGAGAGGCGGTGGGATGTGTCCCTAAGCCACAGGTCAGGCAGAGAGGGGAGGAGACGCGTCTGGTGGCTGTGTCTAGAAGTGACGCATGATAGATGTGAACTATTCTCTGGGTATCTTCATTGCCAGCCTGTTAGATGCGGATCAGACCTGAGGCATCATGAGCTGAAGAGGAAGAACAGGAAGGGGATGAAAAGAATTTTACAAAAAGAGATTGAAGTAGAGTGCCCAACACCACCTTGAAAACTGAGATAGAAAATGCAGCCAACTGACAAAGTCTAGCCACAAGACACTCCAGAATTTCAAGCCAACCTAGAAACAAAATCCTTCTTTCTGGAGTTAGCTGCAAAATACCCAGTGTCGCTTCCATGATCAACGCCCTCCGGGACGAAAGGGTCTCCCTGGGCAAACCACGGACAATCACCCCCAGAAATCAAGTGACAAGAATCAGAAAACCTCTCTTATCTCTTTCCCACCACGAGAAGTCATCAGTCCAACTTGTCAAGCATTCTAGTTGCTCTCTGTGTCTTGTATACATTTTCCATCCATAGCTCAGGGGCTCAGCTGGCATGGATTTTTGGGCTCTCTTTTCCAGCCGCTCCCAAAGCCCAGTGGAACGGGAATGACACTGCCTTCCATGGACCCAACGATGACGAACGTCCATTGGCCTTCATAACCATGTTTATAATTATTAGCTTGTTCCATGTTCAAAAGAATAGGCTTAGTCACACTGCAAACATGAATACCAAGAAGATGGGTCCACACAAAATTGTGGAAGACACTTTTGCTACACACACAGCTGAAACCCTGATGGAGAAACCTCAGGAAGAGTAGATTTTATACCCCTAAGGGAAACACAGGAACATTGCAGGTACTCAATGAATATTAGTTGACTGAAGAAAGAAAAACCCCAAAGACTAAACACGACAGACACTTTTTGAGCACGTTCCCTCTTAACACACATATTTTTTATTTCTCCTTTAATCCTAACGATAACTCCTCAAAAGAAGAGGAAAGGGAAGCTTGGGAAGGTTCAGTAACTTGTCCAAGGTCGCACAGACAATAATGGCAGGGGGAGGGTTTGACCTTGAGCCTGAGCTTTTAAACTTATACTCTAGTTCTTCCAAATTTATACTCTAGGATGGGTATGGAGACTCACACCTGTAATCCCAGCATTTTGGAAGGCTAAGGTGGGAGGATCGCAAGGTCAGGAGATCAAGACCATCCTGGCTAACACTGTGGAACCCTGTCTCTACTAAAAATACAAAAATTAGCCAGGCGTGGTGGCGGGTGCCTGTAATCCCAGCTACTTGGGAGGCTGAGGCACTAGAATTGCTTGAAACCAGGAGGTGGAGGTTGCAGTGAGCTGAGATTACACCACTGCACTCCAGCCTAGGCAACAGAGTGAGACTCTGTCTCCCTCGCCCCCCAAAAAATCAAATCTATATTCTAGTTATTTTCTTAACTCCTAACTTTTTCCCTGAAATACTGGCATCTTCCAAGTCACTGACTCCTTCAGGCTCAAAGAAATGGGGTCTGGTTGGGGTACCAAAGGCCAACAGGGGGCCTAGCTGGAGATGCTGTGGCCCAGGTGAGGGATGAGTACCTGTAGCATGTACCCACGGGGCTGTGTACATGCACAGTGTGGCATGTCTGGGGTGGGGCAGGTGATCTGTGGGTGTGGGTAGGGTGGGAAGTAGCCCCCAATCTCTACCCATGATTATTAGTTTGTTCCAAGTTCAAAAAGATAGGTTTGGTCACACTACAAACATCAATACCAGCAAGATGGGTAGCGGACATCAGAGAACCCTTCCATCTCTTTCCCTACCCCCCACTCAAGTGCTACTTCCATCTCTGTCCCAAAGCCCCTTCCTGCCAGCATCCTCACCACGCTTCAGCACCAGGAGGGAACCCCCATCTGCCATGACTAACAAACTGACACTCACTTCCTCGCTTCCCTTTTAGTGACTTCCCAGGGTCACCCCAGGGCTGAGGCAGCTGACAAGCTCCTGCTGCCTCTGAGAGCAGGAGGTGGGTGCAGAGACCCCTTCCAGAAGGAGGTGCCACCTTCTGGAGCCCCACCATGGGGGGTGTGTGTGGGGGGGTAATTAGCAAGTTCAGCCTCCCCTTTGCAGCCTGCATTACGTAACTCCACCAGCCCCTCTGTGTGGGTGAGGAAATAATGAATCCCCAGGCCCAGCCCCGGCTACATTCTCCATCTGGCGTTGCTCTGTGTATGTGTTTCTCTCTGTGTATTCATGCGTCGCCTGCGTGCTGTGTCATTTCTCTGCTGTGTGTGGCCCGGGTGTCGACCGGCTGAGTGTCTTTTGGCATCTTGCTGCTGGGGTTCTGGTTTGCAGGGAAACCCATCCAGGACCACGCTGTGCCCTTCTCTCTCTTTGCTTCCTTAACCCTCCCCGAGCCCCACATCCTCCAGGTACCAAACCAAGGATGCTCACTGTTCAGTTGGTGGCAGAGACAGCCGGGACCTCCAGGGCTCTCTTGAGCATCCTATTTGGCATTAGGGCTTAATTCTTTATTAAAAGAAGCAACTGAAAGGCGACCTCTTGCGGAGGCAAGGCCCCCAAGTTCACTTCCTCCAGACTCTGGCTTGGGCCAGACCTTACTAAAGGACAGAGGCGGGAATTAGCCTTTGCTGTACTTTGCTTAAGGAAAAAAGAAAACAGAAATGAAGCAACTGGCAATGGCCCCTGGCCGCTCTCAGCACGTTCTTCTCTCTTTCTCCGCTGCGTCCTACAGTCAGGGAGGGCTCTGGGCTGGTGCTTGGGAAATTGGTGTGCTGTTTCTCTCTCACACCTTGGCCATAGAAAGGCAACTTGATCTTTGGAAGGGGTTGAAAAGAAGCTGGGCTGGGGAGAGGCAGATATATTTTTTGTCTGCTGAGAGACAGACACAGAGAAGGAGGGAGACAGCAAGCTCTGGGTCTGAGTTCTGGGTTCTGAGCGCTCTTCATTGTCAATCATCTTCTTCTTCTT